CAATTAAAGCCCACTTTATGCCGGTCTGCTGGCGTCACAAAGTCTGGCCAAGAATGCTCACCTCGGCTAATACTATCAATGAGAACAAACTCTGCAGCATCAACGTCTTACGTACAGTGAATTATTAATGCCAGAGCTAACACGGTACAACTAAGCTGGCTTGCCAGTTAAGGAAAGCAAGTACGCAATGAGGTTTTGTTAGAAAGCTGAATAGTTAAATACTGCAAGATTTGGCCAGATCCTAAATAGTGGAAAGAAATGAAAAGACTTAATGGTACCAATAAACTAGCTAATAATCAATATGTCCAAGGTGGACAGATCAGATTTTTGTGGATTTATACGCAGAGACAGAGGATCCAATTTGCTTTATTTACAGTTTTTTAGTGACATGGTCTGCTGTGCACTTTCATGCTTTGCTCAACTTCCAGAATGCAGTTAGCTCGCCAGCAGAAAGTGATCTGAGAGTAATGACAGCTTATGAAATAACAGCGAGAAGGCTGTTGTGGCTTTCTAACCACCATAAGGTGGTTTCTGCATAAAGTGATCTGATGATGAATAACTACTTGAAATATATGTGATGTATAAACCTAAGGTGCATTACACTCTGTTAACCATTAGAGGGCCCTCTCACAAACTCAAGGCAAGTGTCTGTTAGGCAAGACTCAGTGGTTCAATTTTGCCAGCTTTATTAAAGTTAAGGTGCATTTTATTTGTTTGTGCCACAATTTTCTCATAGCAGAAATAAACAAAAATATTAATATAAATGTCATATAAGTTTTCTATTCAAACATGGGTGTGTGCCTCAAAGTCAGCTAAGGACACTATTCCACTGAGTCACTATGAAAACCTCTTAATGTAAAGGTCTGTGAAATGCCCCAGAGGAGATACATGCCTTCCTGTCTCTGCCTGCCTGTCTTACTGCCTCCACTGTAACAAACTAGGTCAAACTGTCTCCACTTTCATTGACTGTAAACCCTTACTGAGAGCGGTAGACTCCAGAGCCATTAATATCACACTTGAAGGAGTAATGGCGGTTATAAAATGGTGATTAGACCTGGGTAATTTAAACTTAAAAACAGGAGACCGTAGAGGAAATGTGACTGGTTAATAATGATAAAATATATGTGTGATTTGAAGCTGTATTTCAAATGAAATACTGTAAACAGAAATAAATATGACATAAAATACAACTCCCTACAAGTATCTTCTCTTATTTTATTTCTCATTCTTGTAATTTTTTAGAATAAAAAGGTCCTTTGTATCTAAACAGAACAGCAAAAATGATTATTGCTGCCAACAAGAGCACTGGAAAATGTTTTATACTGGATTTGTCTTTCATCACATATAATGTGTGTTATACAGTCAGTTTGCTCTACAAAAACCATGCAATTTCGCCTTGCTGCTACCTCATAGACAACTTCTGTTTTTTCCCGGACGTTAATATCACAAACTGTAACACTGCGCACTTTGCTGCTTACAGGCCTGGCTGCGCCAAGGGCTGGAAAACACTAACCACCGCCAACTGGAGAGACATGCTCAATTTGATGCAGTTGTCTCCTGGAGCACACGCTGATGATGTGATTTTGTGTGGTGAAACTGTATTTCAGAGCTGTGGTGGCACGGAGGGGGCCCTGGCTGTGGAGCAGACCAGCAGGCCATATAAAGCAAAGGGCATGCCAGACTGAATAAGGATCATGAGAGGATGAGAGAGGAGAGAGAGAAAAGTGAGAGAGGGGCCTCTGGGTCTGGTCTGTCGGCCCCCAGAGCAGGGGGCGCAGGCTGGGGTGCCACATCGTTCAGACGGCCTGGTGTACACAGAGAAACCTGATCTAATGTGGAGTTTTGACACACACAAGCACATTAGCAAGATGAAACTGTGATGGAAAGTAGTAAGTACATTTAATCAAGAGATGTACTTAAGTACAGTTTGGAGGTACTTGTACTTTACTTGAGTATTTCCATTTCATGCCACTCTATACTTTTGCTCAACTATACTTTAAAGATAAATATTGCACTTTTATTGCACATTTATCCAACAGCTATAGACAGTAATTACTTGAAAGATAGCAAAAAAAGAATACAAATTTTTTAGCCTTATTCGTTGACCCATTGGAGGGTGCCCGGCCCTTGGGAGCCATTGGACTAAACTATCAAATTGTAATTTGTTGTAATTGTTTAAACTTGCTACACCATGAGCAGCTAGCATTAAGTGCTGCTTCGACACTGATGCTTCAGTCACAGGATGCATTCTTCTGCAGAATGAGTACTTTTACCTTTTTAAGTACATTTTGCTGATAAATACTTCTGTTGTTTTACTTTTACCACAATTTTAAAAGCAGAACTTTTACTTGTGATGCAGTATTGGTTTACCTAAGTAAAAGCACCCATAAACGTACTTAAGTAAAAGTACCATGTACTTCTTCCACCACTGGTGATAACTGATAAATGCAGTAGAAAGTCACAACATTACCTTTACTCAGTACCCACTAAATAGCTACTTAAAGTTTGTTTTTAACTCCAATTTAAGTACCTTTCATGTGGCATTAAGGATTTTGAATTAGCCCAACTCTACATTACACAAGGGAAAATAGAGAGATTTATAATAAATCTGAAAACCAATATCTGCAGCAGCACAAAACACTTGATCATCATCTGCCTGGAGTAAAATAAATATATATTACAGGACATTGAGTTTTATTTTTTTTAACCAACTTCTACATCACAATAGTTTATTACAATGAGCAATAGATCAGTAAAGTAATAATTCTGCAAAAACAACTGATATTGTCCTTTATTATCAGGTATAATCTCAAAGAATCATTTGGATATGCTGCATTAAACCTGTGCCATTGTCCTTTATTCACATTTATTGAGTTTATTTTAATAGGGTATTTTTTACACAAGTCATAAAGTGCACAGGCTATAACTGCATTGAGATTTCATTGTAGAACATGCTGCTGGTCTCTTTCTTCATCTCATTATAGTTTTACATGAAACGGGAATTTAAAAAATGTAAAATAAATAACGTTTTCTTTGCATAAATCTGCCCTGAGACGGAGTTGAGGCGAATAGTTCAGATTGAATTGAATCATGAAATAACTAGTTGCCTTCCCGCAACTGTCTGTTGTTATGCTGGCGGGAGAAAAGCGGGATTTTCAACGACACCGAATTAAAGATCAGAGAAGTGTCTTTACTGCGCGGGTATTACAAGACAGGTGCAAGACTGCACTCTTCGACGCACGGCTCATGTTACTGTTGTCTGCGCTGAGTGTTAGGGTGAAGGGCAACATTACCGCTGATCCTCTGTCAAAGGGTAAGTCTGGCCTTGGGGGAGGGGGGGGGGGGGG